GTTGATAGGTTGATGTCCTTGGTTCTAAGGTTACACCCTAAGGCAGTTTCTATCTACCGCGGTAGACTTGTATGCAATGTGATATGCAAATTTTCTGCATATACAGCCTTGTGTCTACCGCGGTGCGGTAGATTAAGGCTTACCGCGGTAGGATAATTTGGCGACGCTCCCTAATAGCTTGTATATCTACAGTACTTTCATTTTATTGCTTGGGAAAGAGTAGCTACATTTTTATGATGAAGTATCTAATGTCAACAATTTTTTTTTGAAATATTGATTGTATTTTAATGAGATCATTATAGATACACGATTATTCCAAACAGACTATGACTAATAACAACATGACACTTGCCATACGTTAATCAAAATTCAAAAATTTCAATAAACTAGTTTTTTTTTTCATTTGTTTCAAAGAAGAAATATAAAGCTCTAGCCACATTATCAAATTTTCTTTGACAAAAAAATGTGACAAGCCCATATATAGTAATGCTATGCCTATATATGGTCATGGTGTGATGTCATCATGCCCATATATGGGCATATCACACTTTTTGTCACACAAAATTTGATAGTGTAGACAGCGCTTAAAACCCTCTCATACATGTATGATTTTAAAGGTTTTAATGTTGATGCTAAATTCCAATGCTATTTTATTATTTTTCATCCTACTTCCAGAATTATCTGTAAGTATCCAGTGTATTCCAGATTGAAAGATTGGGTTGGAGGAGGAGGGGGGGGGGGAAGCCAACCGGCCCAGGCCACACACCTCCCCCCACAAAATTTTTCAAAATTATAAACAAAAATGGAGAATAAAAGAAAAATATACAGCATTACAAATTCAAACATGAGAGTACCATTTCCAGCCAACTAGATGTGCCATAGATTGTCTTGTCTCAGCCCCACCATGGGGCTGGGTTTGAGGTGGGTCTACCCCCTATTGGTAAAAGTCCTTCTCTAGGCCCCTCTATTTCAAATTTATGGATCCACCCCAGGTATCAATTTTTTTTAATTAAGTTTTTGCATACCGACTTTCAAAACAATCCTTAAATTGATTACTATTACCAATTTTATGAGTTAAATTATACTAAACTTCAATTGAATTTAATAGCTCTCTTGTTTATAGGCACTAATACTACAGTACTATACACCTTTTAGCATCCTACTAATACCATACATTCATAGGGGGATATCCAGAATTTTTCAAATGGGGAGGGGGATGTCCACACTTTCACAATACAGTAGATAAGTGCGTAGTGCTAATTTCAATATGCATTGAAATTTTAAAATTCAAAGAGGATAAATTATATCATCAGCAAATGATTATTTGAACAATATTTTCAAACATATGATAAGTAATTAGTATACCCTAAACTTAGAGTATATTTTAAATTTTATTCTATTTTTTTGCATGCTATGTTTTGAGATTGAAAATCCCAAATGAAAATAATTTTAAATTCAAAATAATTTATTATCTTTACTATATTTTTGGATTGATTGAATAATTAGTTTATAAGATAAGTAATTACCAATTCAAGTGTTAATCTAGGGCACAATAAACCCCTTTTAAATAAATCAGAATTCCATATATCAGGCCGGACAAATTGTAATCCAATAATCTAATGAATTTCTCAATTTCCCCTTAATTTAATAAACAAACAACAAGCACGGTGTTTTTAGATTTGCATTATAATATATGTAGCAATGTAAATAAACCGAAATGCACACGCAATCACACAGCGTTCAATCACCTGATACCAATTACACTAATATTGATTATAAATTATTTTTATTGCATGGGTTTGAAGCTAAATATTAGAGAAAGGTCAAAGTTGAAATTGTAACACCCATACCTTGGATTCAACTGGGCTGTCACTAATTTGTCATTAAAAACTACTGTCGGCTTACATGAGAAACTCTATCACTAGTTATAAGAAGAATAAGGGAGAATTTCAAGACCAATATAGTGGCCTTGAATATCAAGTTG